AGGTAATCGTCCTGTCCTTCAACCTCACTGTAGTTTCTTTCTCTTCTTTTACATCCCTATTTTCTCCTCTTCTCTTTTAAATTTCCCCCGCTAGGATAAATTCACTCTACTCAATGCACATTTCCTATACATAATTTTTTGATTTGTCTTAAATTTTGTTATGTAACTATAAATCTTGTAGCAATGGTTAAAGGTGGTTAATTAGTATTTATCACAGTTTGCCATTTTCTAGTCTGTTTGATGCTACTGTTATTACTGATAAGTACCTGCTTTAAGAACTTGTACTCAGGCCAGGGATATAGTTCAGCGGCACAGTGCCTGCCTGGCAACCACAAGGGCATGAGTTCAATTCCAGCACCAAAAAAAAAAACAAAAGATCCTGTGCTCTAATAAGATGGAAAACTAGGAAGACACAGACAGATTCCTAGATAAATATGAATTACCAAATATAAGTAATCCAGGGGCTGGGGATTTAGCTCAGCGGCAAAAGCGCCTGCCTGGCAAGCGCAAGGTCGTGAGTTCGGTTCCCGGTACCGGAGAAAAACCACAAAAAGAAAAACAAAACAAAACATAAGTAATCCAATATCAGTCAATGAAATTTAGGAAGTAAATTTTAAAAAAAGAAAACTACCAACAAGGAAAAGCCCAGGTTCTGACAGATTCACTGCTGAATTCCACAAGAACTTTAAAGAACTAATGCTATTTCTCTTCAAACTCTTTAATGAAAAGGAAAGGGAAGCAATACTCTCAAACTAATTTCTGGAAGCAAGCATTACCCTGATACCAAAACCAGAGAAGGATCCAACCAAAAAAGAGTATTAACTATAGGCCAATGTCCTTAATGAACATAGATGCAAAAATCCTCAATAAGATATTGGCAAATAGAACTCAGAAAATCATTGAGAAGATTACACACCATGACCAAGTAGGACTCATACCAGGGATGTAAGGATGGTTCAACATATGCAAATCAAGTGTAATATATTACATTAACAAAACTAAGTGCAAAAAACACATGATCATCTCAATAGATGCAGAAAAAGCATTTGATGAAGTCCAACGTCCATTCATGGTAAAAATCCTATAAAAAATTAGAATAGATGGTCTTTATCTCAATCTGCAAAAAGCTATCCATGAAAAACCAAAAACTGAAAGCTTTCACTCTAAAATCAAGAACAAGACAATGATGTACACTACCACCACTCCTTTTTAACGTAGTTCTGGAAACATTAGTTAGAGCAATTAGACAGAAAGAAAGAACAGCTATTATCAAGAAATCAACCACTAACAAATGCTGCCGAGGCTGTGGGGGAAAAGAAGCCCTTCTCTACTGCCATACAATGGTACAACCACTATGGAAATCAGTGTGGAGAGTCCTCAAAAAATTAGAACTAGAGGTTTCATTTGACCCAGCTATTCCCATTCTAGGTATCATCCTGAAAGAGTTAAAAGCATCACGTTTATAATAGCTGAATCTTGGAAATAGCCCATATGCCCAGAATGGATAAAGAAAATGTGTTTTTTATGTAAGATAGAATACTAGTCTGTCGTAAGGAAGGACACATCTGAGTCATTTTTTGGTTAATGGATGTATCACATGCAGGTTTAAATGGCGCAGTGCTTACCTTGTGTGAAAAAGCCAAAGGGAAAATAAGCATAAAGGAGGACAGATAGGGGGAAGGAGGAAGAACTTGTTCAAAGGGGGAGGGGGACAGGAGGGCAGGGAGGAAAAGGACAAAAAAGATAATGGAAACAAAGCTTTTGTAAATGGCAAAGGGAAGAACAGCTGAAGGGAGGGGAGGATATAAGGAAGAAAAGAATAATTAAGATCTGTTACGTACAGGTATAAGTCCCCTATGATGAACGTCGTCATATGTCTAATATAAACTAGTAAGAATTTAAAAATAGATAATACACTACACTTTCCAGTGTAATTTGAACTTTTTTCTTTTAAAAGCAAAACAGATTTTAGTTGCACGGAATTTAAACAGACTGTAGCTTACATAACTACATTTAATGGCCTAAAATATTTTCTCCTAAGTTATGATCCACATATTTTATTAATCTATGAGTAAGATTTATTCCAGGATGGTACTGCACATATTTAATCATGGTCAAATCTCTTTTCTTGTAGAAGATCAAGTACAGCTAAGATTGCATAGAAAATGGGAACAAAAGGTTTTAAAATTAAGCAAGACTGTAAAGTACACTGTGTAACACAGTTAGCTCCCCAATTAACAGATTTTGACCCAAACTCCCCAATCCTACAGAATCGAGAAGTTTAAAGCATTTTTTGTCCAGAGCACTCAACATAAGGACAAATAATGTCAGGGCTTACATGAAATATTTGTTAAACACTAGAAGATTTGAATTAAAATTCTCTAATACAGTAATATGAAAATATATGTAGCCAGTGATAAATACAAGGTGATAATTCAAAATTTTCTAATTATTAACCCTTAAACCTAAACAAATGTAGGCTGGTAACACAGCTGAAAAACAAGCACAAAATAATCATATATCATAGAAATAAATGATTCTAAAATACAAACACCTAAGTTATTTCATCTTTGTGAAAAATGCACTAAATATTTTGTTGATGGAAGAAAATATTCTGATAATAACATACGTTCAAAGTCCAAAAGAGATTTTCTCAACTTTCTTATAAATCAGAAAGTTTTCAAAAAGCACTTTGGCTTAAAATGCTTCACTTTTGGTCTCAGCCCAGATAAATATTTTGGAAAACTGGAAGAAATATTCTATTTCCTAGTTGTTTGAGGTGTCTCAATATGGTTGGGAAAAGAAGATATTTTTCCCCATTCGTACTTGGAAATTCACATATGGCATAAATTTAAGTTTTAAATTGGCATGTACAAAATCCTCCATGAGAAAATCGCAGACCAGAAATAAACACTGGCAATTTTTGACTGCCGAAGTGGAATAACACAGAATAGCACGCAGGATCCTGCTCTCCTTGGTGGTGAACCGGGCATTCTCGCCAGGCAGACGTTGGCACTGTGCTCCAAAGCCCAACTGCTCAGGCCGTGGCAAGTGAGGCATCATCTGAAAGTTCCTTACAAGGAAGCAAACTAACTGAATGATACACCTTTCCATAACGTTAATAAAGTGTATAGGGATCAGGAACCGGAATCCAAAAGCACTCAACCATTTCTCGTAATAGCAGACTAGGTGACATCCAGCAATTCTCACTGAAAACAACTAGAAAAACTAGGCAAAACAAAATCAGCCTTGTGAAAACATCAGAATGCTAAGGAAGCTGTGAAAAATCATAGGACTGTAGAGACACAAATACTGCAGATGTGAGCCCAGCCTTTGGGATTGCTCTTGCCCCCAGGGACACCTGCTAACAGGGTAGTTCAGAGCTGAGCAGAGGTGTCAAAGAAACTGCAAGGACAGCAGACACAAATAAGATCAGACTGCCAAAGAGGCGCTTTGGCTGGAGACCGTCACCACCGCATGACTACACTCTGGCAGTAAAGATCAACTATAATCTGGAACTGAATTCAAATTCAGAATCTCAAGCCCTTCCTGAAATAAAGTGACACAAACCATTTCAGAATACAAATAACATCAACCTCCCTCAAAGTAATTCCTGTCTTTTACAAAGTCAAAACACAAAATAACCACCACTACCACCAGCAGGTATACTAGGAGACTCTAAGTATGATAAAAATGTAAACAGATCCAGAGGAACTAGATGATTTAGCTATGATCACAAGCTTTCAATTAATAAAAGGAAATTAGAAAACCTAGATTTTGACAGAAAACTGGAAAACATGTAAAAAAGTATCAAATGGAAATTCTAGAACTGAAAATAGAAACTCAAATTGAGAATTCAATAAATGGATTTTAAAAACTAGGTACAATTACACAAAATTAGACCATTAGAAAAAATGGTTAGCTATAATATAGGTCAGAAGTAAATCAGGAGAAGGGAGACAAGAGGATAGGAAACACAAGAAAGCATGTGACAGACAAGGAATCAAGCAGAAGTTCTAACAAACTGTTATGGTTGATACAGTGTCAACTGGACGAGTCCAGAGGCTTGGCTGAGTGACTCAGCAGTTCTACATCCTGTGGTGAAAAGGACATGCACTCTGGGCTGTTGTTCACTGTGTCAACTTGAGGAATTTAGAAGGTTAACTGGGTGACTCAGCAGGGGGCCAGGGTGCCCACTCTGTATTCATCCTGAGCCTGTGCAGGAGGAAGGCATGGAGATTATGCGAGTGCTACACACCCCCTGGGTGGGGGTGGCCTGCTTACAGTAGAAGGAGGGAAAAGAGGCTTGCATCCCCAACCCTTTTGCCCTTGCTGCTTTTGCTGTCTTCAGCCGCCATGAACTGCTGCCCTGTGTCATAGAGCCAGCCGAGAATGGACTGAAACCTCCACAAACTGCAAGCTAAATAAACCTTTTCCTTCCTTCATTTTGGGTGTTGGGCATTTTGTCTCAGCAACGAGAGAAAAGTAACCAAGACACAAATGTAGCTGGAATCCTAGAGGAATAAAGGCTAATGGAGTCAAAGCTCTATTTGAATAGAAAATTGATCAGTTTTCTAAAACCAATAGAAGTTATTTTAAGTAACTAATACTGAGCCCGTCCATGTATGGCTATATGATGTTATAAATACCACAATCCATGTTGTAGTCAACTGTCAGAAAAAGAACCCTGTATCTTCAGATAACTAAGGGAGAAAGAAACCTAGAGTCACAAGTACTCACACAGATCATTCACACTATGTGGGCCGCGGCCGCATTCTGATTCAAACAAATGCATTTGGGGAAAGAAAAGCCGTAACAGCCACAAAAGAACAGGACATTTAGACAATAACTTGATGGTATTAAAAATTAACTTTCACTTAGGTATGACAATGGTCTTGTACTTATGTTAGAACCAAAGTTTTTATCCGTTAGAGATACTGATATAAAATGGAGAATTACTGGACTTTGCTTAAAATCAAATGAAAGTAGTAAGTTGATACAGTTATTAATTCAAGACAATTTATCGTGCATTAATTGTAAAAACAGATACTGGATTCATGCAAGTTCATTACATCTTTAGTCTGCCTTTCCTGGTGTTCAAAGGTCTCCATAATGACATTCCATCTAACTCTCGGCAAGCTTGCTTCCCTCCTAACACAGCAGCCAGCTTCACGACCCACCTTTTCCTGGCACTTTGTAAGGGTGTGTGCAACCTGAACATGTCATCGTGCCTTTCATACCACTCTCTAAGCCCAGGCAGAATAAACTTACCAAGGGTTAATTAAAATCTCAGTCACTGAGCTGTACTAAACTAAGTCAAGAACCAGTACCTCCGTAATAGGAACAGCTGCAGAAATCTTAAGACTTCCACTGTACCTAACAATTTTAACATACTAAAAATCTGAGTGACAGGGAACATCACACAGATAATGTGTGATCTTACTAATCTACTCCATTTGACAGCATATATTACAGTAAGTTTTCAACGTTGCATACTTCAAAATAAAACCAGACAAAAATAATTCAGAACTTTCATTTTCATTAACTTAGACTTGACCTATTCCAAATTAGATACAGGTTGAATATCCCCTTATGTGAAATGCTTGAGACCGAAAGTGTTTTAGATTTCAGTTTTTCAGACTATGGAATATCTGCAGATTTTACCCAATGAGCATGCCTAACTGGAAAGTCCACAATCCAAACTGCTCTGAAATCCAAAACTCGAAATGCTGACACGATGCTCTCCCTGTAGTTAGCAGATCACATATTCACAACAGGACATTATTTCTCGCGTCAAGTTGTTCTCTGATACTCTCTTTCAAATGGGCCTCAGCACATTCTGAAAGCTTACAAAACTTCGCCTGTGGAGTAAAAAAGTTTAAGTGTATTTATCTGAGAGTAAAAAATGAATGTCTTTAATCTTAAAGTGGGTGGATACATACACATATACAAGACACAGAACATGAGCCATCATATTTAAAATATGAAGTGTATCTTTTAATAATCTGTGGCGATTTTATATATCCGGAATCACAGATACTACAGGTTAAAGATTCCATTTAACAGACATTTTCTAGGAATGGCTCCATGGGAATTCCAAAGGAACACTGTAATGTTTATATTCTTTGGAATCTGTATCCACAAGTAATTGAATTCAGCTTGGAAACCAAAATAAGCCTTTCAAGTACTTAAAATAAATTTCCCAACATTATACCAAGGTGAAAGCAATTTCTGGTCATGTTTTCATTACCTTCCAAATATGTCGCAGAGATTTTCTCATTAACAAGGTTTTACATAAAATTATATGTTATGACCTGTTACTTTCTGTTAATAGCTTTAAACTTAAGCTTTAGTTTCTTGCTATAGATTCTTCTAGGGTATAAAACAGCTTCTGAAGCTTTGTGGAAAATTAATAGTCAAATTCTATTTAAATTAATGATGGACCCTATGGTACTCAACTTTGCTACTTCAAGAAAAAAAGGGAACAGTGGCCTAAATCTACTTACCAACAGATTAATTTCCTAGAACACTGATTTTTATTATTCCGCCTGCATGGCAGGCACCAAGTGTTAACAGGTTACCACTAAAGATGCACCCGACCTCCTTAACTTTCAGTCTTTCACAATCTCCCTCAAGCTCACTCCTCTTGGTGAAAACTATCCCAGCCAATCTCAACTTCCCAGGCCTCCAGATATGCTTCCCTGACTCCTATGTACCTTGTTCCCCCTTCCCAAAATAATATCCTCTACCCTCCCTCTGCCTACCCATGATCCCTTCAAGACCTGCTCTACCTCAATGATCATCCCAGCCAGCCATGCGTTTTTCCCTCCCAGAGCATTCTGAACATCCCACTCCTGTAACATTTACTGAAGGGACAGACTGACCCAAGACACAATGACAGCTATCTACCAACTGATGGCCTAACCCTAGCAAACGGAGAGTTGCTATACGGGCAAGCTGTGTCTGCTTGGCTCCTCTTGATAGCTTTACTACAGTAGAGTTTGCTTATCTATGTGTGCTAATGTAGACTTTTCCTTATCATGGTACCAGCAGGTTGTAAGGAACTGAATGTGACTGTAATTTTGAGGTCAAGGAAACTGTAGGAACGTGAAATGAACACTGTAATCCTCCTCACTTAAAAGTAAAGAGCAAAAGAAAGAAGACGTACACAGTGAATGACAGCAGGAAGAATGCCTCATTTCCACTGCCCTTCTTTCCCTTCTATACATAACCGCTGCACACCGTTTTTCCAGACTGCCCCGAGGTGCTTACTTCTCATTCCCAGGGTCTCCCGGGCCGGTTTTCCAATTTCCCAAAGATGGTAACACCTCAGGAATCACACTAGTGGGCTATAAAATCCGAAACGACACATGGCTGAACTCAACGTGTTCTAGGTTATCTTGTATCAGAACTATTTTCACATACTAAATAAAATATAGGTGATAGCTACTGAATAAAAGCCTAGATATAGCTAGAGAAGAAAAACATCAAAAAATTCTTTCACTGCAATTAGTTTTAATTAATAGCAATGGGAAATAACTGCAGATTTAACCCTGTCATACAAAAATTGCACTAAAAATTTGGGATGTGATACGCTGAAGTTATAAGGAAATACATTTGTCTTAAGTCTATACTGTCAAATAGAATTTAAAACTGTACATTCAAAATGTTTAGAGATTAAAATTCACCACATAAATTTCAGCCTCAAAAGTAAAACATTCCTCTAACGTCAAGTTTGTCCTATAAATTATAAAAAAGAAAATGCTGATACATACACATATTTCATTTTTTTAAAATAAACAGTCTAGACTTAATGCCAAGCTAGAAAATGTCTGATCAAATATCTACCAGTAAAAAGAGAAATCATCACTTAGAAACACTTAACTATAAACTTTTTAAATCAGTACCAATTTGTAGCCCAAAGAAATAAACTTAAGAACAAACGAATGCATTTTATTTCATGACACTGCCTGTAAAAAAGAAGGACACTGCTACTTGTTTGGACTTAGGTGCAAAATCCAAGAGCACAGCCATGTGGACGCAGAACGTACTTGTTTCATAACAGTTCTGTTACTGAGGCTCTCAGAATTTCCCAAGTAGGGTTCATTATAATTTCCGACTTAAATCTGGTAATCTGAACAACTACTTTGAAGATAACGATATGAAATGTAACAACCATATATTTTTTGTTTGTTTGTTTGTTTATTTTTTGTCTTTTTGAGACAGGGTCTCGCTATGCAGTTCAGGCTGGCCTTGAGCTCACTTTGTAGCGCAGGCTGGTCTCAAACTAGCAACGATCCTCCTGCCTCAGCCTCCTAAGTGCTGGGATTACAGGCGTGCGCCACCACGCCCCGTAACAACCACTGTAAATTTCCTAAAATTTCCTATCACCTTGTTCTGAAATTCTGTAGCTTTTCATTGTTTTTTTAATTCTCTTTAAAAATGAAAAAAACAAATAATTCGACTTAAAATATTAGAGCAAAATTTCTTAAAACCACTATAAACTTTAAATTTGAATTTTGAATAGCAAGAACAATAAATTACATAAACACTTGAAAGCCATAGCTAAGGCTGGGCATAGTGGCGCATACCTGTAATCCCAGTACCTGGCAGGTTGAGGTAGGAGAATCACTGTGAGTTCAAGGCCAGCCTGGCCTACAAAGCGAGTTCAAGACCAGCCTGAAATGCACAGTAAAACCTTGTCTCAAAAAAAAAAGTAATAGCTAAAGAGTAATTTTATAGGTTGGCCATGCCTAATTCAAAGGCTAACATGAAATTCTACCCCAAAACTCTGTTTCAAGTATGATATTATTATATATATACAGTAAAAAAAGTACCTTCGGGGTATATATAAGGCATACATGAAACATAAATTAGTTGTATACTTAGACTTGAGTCCTATAGTTGTTACTTTATTATGTATAGGCAAATATTAGAAAAATCCAAAAAAAAGTCTGGAACTCATCTCTTTCTAAGCATTTCAGGTTAAGCAATATATAACGCGTGACCTATCTTAATTCTGTGTACTTCAACGTCACAAAAATCTAGTGCAGTGGACATTATTATCAGGACTTTAAAACAAAGCATCTAGGGCCGGGGATATAGCTTAACGGTATAGCGCCTGCCTGGCAAGCATGAGGTCTAGAGTTCAATTCCTGCTACCAAAAAATAAAAAATAAAAATAAAACAAAGCATGAAGGACCTGGAAAGAGCGAACAACATTATTTGTTTCTTAAATTGAAAGTTACAGGTTCTCTTTCTCCTTTCCTTCCTCCCACTCTTCTTATAGCAGGGAGAGAATTCTCAAAAGAAGCGAAGGCATATTGGGAATACTGTATTACGTTTTAGAAACATGATTTTTTTGAGACAGAGTCTTGGTTTGTAGCTCAGGCTGGCCTCGAGCTCACAGTGATCCTCGTGCCTCAGCCTCTCAAGTGCTAGGATTACAGGCATGCACCACCACACCTGGCTGTGTTTTTTGAAAATAGGAAAAATAGTATTTTACAACACAATATATCAATATTTTTATATACTGAACTTAGAACACCTTGACTGTAGTGACTAAAGTATCTGTACGTATATATTTTAAAAATATTTTTGGGTATCAGTACCAACTTGTTTTAATTTATATATAAGAATACATTGCCTGAAAACCAGAAAAATATATACTAAAGAGTACTATCAAATTTTGAAGCTTTATTGTATTTATCTTCATATGTACATAACTAGAAGTCTTTTTAAAGAGTACTACCAAGTTTTCAAGCTTTTTTGTATTTATCTTAATATGTACATAACTAGAAGTCGTCTTAAATGTTTTCCAACCTGGGTCTGATGTGGACATCAACAGTGGTTTAATTCTGAAACGGACTTTCACCGCTCACTTTGTGTAGCTCATTTACAGTTCACTCCAATCTTCTTTCATCCCATCCTTATGACTTATGTTTAATAAAATGCCACCCATGTGCCAGACTGGTCAGACTAAAAAATGTTGCAGAACTTCAGGTCAGAGTTGGGAGAGGGGGTGGGCAATGACAAGATCATGAAAAGTCGCATCAGATGATACCCAAGGTCTGAAGAAGTCTGGAGACACCAACTTTAGGTGCTGCAGAGGCCGTTTTACAGGATAAAACCAGTTCTTAACACAAAACAGCAGCCATTACGGCTGAGTACTAAGTGCTTGTTTCCCACTGGTGTTTGTGGAACTTTGTGTACTGTTGCTTTTCACGGACTCTAACAGGCTTTTAATTCTTTCACTTGGAAGCTTCTTCTGTACCCTCTTACTCGGTGCTACAGTCTGCAGCAGCAGGGCAGCCAGCCCCCAAGGCTGCCTGCTTGATGGGGAGGGTCGATCTCCATCTTCCTGTTGTAAAAACCAGGCACTTTCTCTGGCCAAGTCTACAAATCTTTGTAGCTGGCTTTGATTTACATTTTTGCTTACGTTGAGAGAAGTTTCAAAAGGATTCTGAATGTGCAGAGGAGACGAATCAGGTTTGTTTTGTTCTCGTCCCTACAGGTTATGAATACAAAGAGAAAAATCTATAAATACAGGAAGAGCTTAAACGTCAAAAACACATCAAAGGCTGGCCCTGGCACTAACTTTACGGAGAAAAGAACTTGTTCCTGGGAAGCCGGAAGCGAACGCATGCTAGTGAACAGTGAGTGTGTACTTCTGCTTTGTCCCACTGTACTTTTGTGAGTATTTTGGGGGAACCTTAACCGCTTCATGATGGCTGATGGATGACGACGACGCTGGACGATGACGTCACAGCTCAGGTGACAGATACCTGGACTAGGTCAACAATATGAATGACTTTTAAATAATGTAATTTTTACCTAACAAGCTAGAGTTGAAAGTGGGGGGAAGAAAAACGGGAGAACGTAAGATGAACAGGCATTTCTTTCTCAGAGCTACTGAAAGCATACCTACTACAGTGGGAACAGAAATACACAAAATCAGAATCCTTAAATATGCGTAGCAATTACCACTTCCCAAGAAGAAATCAGAAAGGAAGAGAATAACGAAGGATTAAAACATTGAAGTTTCCAACAGGAAGGCACTTCCGCAAAAAACCATCCACACCTCACAGAAGTACAAGCTAGGAATCAAAGGAATCTATGCATCTCGTCCTCTTTCGAAGGGTGCGGGAACGTCACTGAGTACTTGCAAAGGGTCGTGAGCAGCCCCGGTCTCTTCCCTACCTCCTCGCATCCCCTGCCCAGCAGGTGCCCTGCCTGCCTGTCACCTCTGAACCCCGAGAACAGAAAGGCAAAGAGGGGGCGTCATGGCACAGGCCTGTGATCCCAGCACTCTGGGAGGCTAAGGCAGGAGGATCACAAGTGTGAACCCAGCCTGGGTAACATACCAGATGCTTTCTTAAAACGAAAACTTTACAAAATATCTGGTGAGGGAGCTCCGTGTGAGGCCTTGGGTTTAACCCTCACCCTACAAAAGAGGGACAAAGAACTCAGTCTGCTTGGAGACTTTTCCTCTGAGATTGCATTCCCTTTCTCTTCCCCGCCCTTCCCACCCCAACAGCCTCCACCAGCAGAGAACTGAAGGCAACACAAGTGTGTCTGGGCCCAAATCCTGCACAGAAAAAACGCACAGCGACAGCTCTCACAAGTATCCCCCAGGCGTAGACGCATTTTGCCCGAAGTTCTGCCCAGACTGACACTCGTCTGCCATCTGAACTAATGGACTCAGAAGAGCCAAATTCACAGATTTGCATGCTCTAATTAAGTTAAGTTCTAAGGACTGCCTCTGAGGGGACCACTAAAATCAACCTTGAGACTCTACCAAACGTACTCCACAAGAACACAAATGCAGCTCAGAAACAAGTATAAAGTTATGCTTTCCAGAAAACCTTACAGGATATGACTGCACGCTTTAGAGAATACAGTATTAGTCTACGGCCATGTCACCTGAACGTGCCCGATCTCGTCTAACCTTGGAAGCTCAGCAGGGTCGGGCCTGGTTAGTACTTGGATGGGAGAATACAGTACTAGCAAGCACTGAGCGACAGCAAAGGTACAAGGCACTGTGACAAAGGCAGCTGCTGGCAGAGCTTCCTCTTTGTCTGACAGGGTGACTGAGCTTAGTCAGTCGGGCAGCTCCTCTGCTCATCAAGCGCTTATTACCACACGATGCGGGGTTGAAACGAAACAACATTTGCTACAGTTCTCTGAAAACTGATTAAAAATATTAGCACAGAAGAAGACAAAATACCTTTTAACCAAATACTGAAACATTTACCTGTCGAATATTTATGGAATTCTTGTTGAAAGCGAAATTGCCAAAATATTCAAAAAATTCCTTCAAAAGTAATTCTGCAAGAAAATAAAACAAGGAAAATAAGAGGAAAGTTTGTTTGAATTGGAAAGGGAATAAAGAAAAACACTTACCTAGTGTTTCTGTGTTTTCTGAAGGTTTAATTTTATTCAAATCACGAACAAGTGTACAGTTGTTGCCTTCTATTATGCATTTATCTTCTTCATCTTAAATAGAATTGAATAATATTTCATATTATATTAAACTATTTCAAAAAGGAAATGATTTAAATAAATCTGTTATATATGAATATGTCCTACTATTAGTGTTATACGTAGACTTATAATAAAATCTAAAACTCAATTTTAAAGATTTGAGACTAACAATACTATAGAAAAATGACATCTCATTTTCCTTACCAGGCCAGAATTAGGTTCTCTATCAGCACAGTGATTCTGGAACAAATCAGTTTTATAGCAGCCAATGAAAAGTATGGAGTTTCTGTCTTTCATGACATCCTCCATCAGTACTTAGATTTTATTTCTATTTTTACTACCTCTTTGTGCTTTTCTTCAATGACTTGTATATGACACAAACTGAATGTTCTAAGAGGATCTAAAAACTTCAGGCAATTTCTAGAACGCAGTGCCTCAGATTAACTGAAATCCAATTAATTCCGTAAAACCAATTCATAACAACACACTAGAATTATACAGTCACTTTTAAATAGTATTTATATACCTAGAGGCAACGTTTTCCTAATTACCGACAAATCACACTACGAAACCCCTCACCACTCTAAGCCGCCTCCTACTCTACAATACATAATACGCTCTTGTGAAGAACGACTCCCACTCGTCAAGGATCCAGCCAAGGCCAGCGGCCGCCTCCCCTACGCTGGAAGCATTTCCCAGCCCCAAGCCGGCGCACGCCTGCTCCGTCCACTGGTCTGTGTTTACCTGACCGTACTCTGACTCTGCACACGCGGCCCACGCCCTTCCCCAGCCTGAGATGCAGTCTCTCTCCGTCCTACTTGCTACTGCCCTCCACCTCCCATCTGGCCCACCGCAGCGGTATGTGGCACACAGCAGGCACAGAATCAGCAACCTGAGTGACAGCTGAGTGCCTACAAGATCACAAGGTTCTCACAAACTTTTGTCTCCCTTTTTTTGTGATTTTTATTTGTCATTAAGACCTATGTTTCTGATATGATTTCTCAGTAGTTATTTTATTTATTCATTTATTTATTTTTTGGTAATGGGAATCGAACTCATGACCTCAGGTTTGTCAGGCAAGCGCTTATGCCGCTGAGCTACATCCCCGGCCCATACATATAGTAATACAGTTTATGACCAAGATGGCATCTCAAATCACTGGAGGATGGATTTTGACTATTTTTTATACAGGGGATTGAGCCCAGAGCCTCCCTACTAAACACCCCCAGATGTTTCTACAAGAAATACATCCCCAGATGTATTTTATCTTGAGACAGGGTCTTATTTTTTTTTTTTTTTTTTGGTACTGGGAATCAAACTCACGACCTCACGCTTGCCAGGCAGGCGCTTGCGCCACTCTCAGTAATTATTTTAGAGTCAAACAATTTTAATAGCACATTTTATGTGCTCTACATACAACCTACAGTCTACTGAAGAACTATGTTTTCAGAAACAAAAATGATCCTATCTTTTCAAAGATCTAAATATTAAAACAGGGTGTGGTGGCACATGCCTGTAATCCCATCACTCAGGAGGTTGACGCAGGAGAATCACCGTGAGTTCAAGGCCAGCCTGAACTACACAGTGAGACCCTGTCTCAAAAAAGAGAGAGGAAGAAAAGAAAACAATAAATATTAAAACAGGAACACTAAATCTTCTGGAAGAGAGAACAGGTAGAACTCTTGAAGACGCAGGTGTAGGCAAAGACTACATGAACAAAATCTTAACTGCATAGGAAATACTACAAAAAATTAACTGGGATCTCATTTTATTAAAAGTTTTTACACAGCAAAAGAAATCACCAACAGAGTGAAAATGCAACCTACACAATGGGAACAAAGCTTAGCTAGTTGTTCTTCAGATGAAAGGCTAATATTCAGAACATATAAAGAACTGAAAAAAAAATCAAGATTCCCCTAAATTTAAAGACCCAATCCAAAAATGGACATACAAAATGAACAGACACTTCTCATAAGAGGTACAAACAGGAAATAAACACATGAAAAAATTTCAACATCACTGATCATTTGAGAGATATGAATTAAAACAACGCTGAGATTCTATCTCACTCCAGAAAGAATGGTCGTTATCAACAAATCAGCCAAAGGAACCCTTCTCCACTGTTGGTGGGAGTGTAGACTGGTGCAACCACTGTGGAAATCAGGGTGGAGATTACTCAAAAAACTAGGCCTACAAGTCCACTTGATCCAGCTATTCCCCTGCTGGGCACTGTCCCAAAAGAATTAGAAGCATCATACCACAGTGATATATGCGCACCCATGTTTGTAGCAGCACAGCTCAGAATAGCTAAATCTTGGAAACAACCCAAATGCCCATCAACTGACAAACAGGTAACAAAGCTGTGGTTTTTTTAAACAATGAAGTACTTCTCAACCATAAAGAAGGATAAGCTTGAGACATTTATAGCTAAATAGATGGACTTGAGACCATACTCTGAAGTGAAATAAATTAGACACATGTAAATATCACACTGTCTCTGGTGTGAGAAACTGAAAGTGTAAGTAAGAACCAAAATGTGTAATCGATATTGTGAAATAGGAAGTAACTGTTCAAAGGGAAAGGAAAATTGGGGAGTGAAAGGGAAAAGAAAAAAATGAAGAAAAAAAAAGATAAAATGGAAACAAAGCTATGTGAATAAGGAGGGTTGAGAGGAGGGGAGGGGAATAGGGAAAAAAAGAGGAAGTAAGATACATCATGTAAAGGTACAAATTCCCTGTGATCATTATGTATATCTAAACTGTACTAATAAACTTAATTATAAATACAAAGATCCTATCTTAAATCAGAAGGTAATTTTTTTGCTTTTGATTTCAACCATTTCTTAAAAATTCTTTTAGGAAGAAAGAGCACTTAGGGCCAGGGATATAGCTCAGCAGCACAGCGCCCACCTGGCAAGCACGAGGCCCTGAGTTTGATTCCCAGTACAAAAAAAACAACACTTACAGAGACAGTCTTCTTATCACCCTATTCTTCCCAATATTTTAGACTCCTCTCATGGGACTTGGGCATGCGTTTCCTATCACCAGTGGCGTCAGCTGCATTTCCTGAGACATAGCAGCGGCCAGGTATGTCGATGGCCTCCTGGCAGCTGAGCCTTTTTTGGGCATACATCCCCTACTAAAGGATTACTAACAGAAAAATAAGAGCCGCACTAAAATATTTCTCGGAATACAGTGATTAATAAACTGAGACTGTCTCTACCAGTGTTGCTTTTTACCAAATGTATTTTTAATAGAAAGTATTAAAATTGAAGGCAAAAAGAACTATGCTTTGGTTTCAGACTGAATCACTTTTTTCTGAAAGCCTCCAAGGCGCAAACCTAAGGAACGACGAGATCCTCCAGTCTCCCCGCTCCTCTCTTTTCTACCTAGACAACACCTACACTGTCCACCACCGCGGTCGCGGCCACCTGTGACCTGGGATTCCAGCACCTCAGGCACACGAGTCGCATTCAAGGGACTGCCAGGTCCAGCGGGCTCGTGGCCGTGCCTGTGCAGCACAGACACACCTGCTCAGGGCCGTGGAAAGCCCTGTTGGCTAGCCTGCCTTGGCAAACTGATCCCAGCCTATCAGACACCCCGTCGCCACTGCTGAATCTGCTGACACTGACTTCCTCCTTCTTAACAGGAAGCCCTGCCAAAAATTTATAAAGGAAATACGAAGTCCCAGTTGCGAGGAAAACAGACATGAAGCACTCTAATTAACTACGAGAGACCTCCTGTCACCACAAGTGACCTTAGAAACTACACAGGAATGAAGGTTATGTATTTATTAAATCTAACGTCTTTCCTTCCTTTAGAATTTTGAGATCCCTGTGGATTGGCAACCACTATTTTCTGCATGACACAGTAAAGCATGAATAAAAATCACTGAATAGCATTCTCAGACACCCAGACTGATAAACGGACAGATATTTTTCAGGAAACAGTATCATACTACAATCATTCAATAATACAACAGTTTGTCACAGAGGTCACTATGGGCAACAACTGGTATTAACAGATTCCTGGAGCAAACAGTATAATCTCATCTGTGACTTCTATAATCGTTTAGGTTAGTTTTTCTGGTCAAAGGCGAAAAAAGCAACATTACTGCAGCCACATGCTTTCTAATAAACCAGAAGTCGACAGGCATACCACTGAAGGACCCAACAGACATCTAGGTCAGACAAAGACTTAGTATCTTTCTCTCTTATAAAAAGTTCCCTTACAATGGCCTACTTTTACCGGAATTTTACTGGGAGCTAAACTTGAATAGCTAAGAACTATATAAATAGCTGTATGCAGCATCTATTATAATTATTAACAGGCCTAAACCTTGCAGTCATTGTCGGTTTTGCCCTACTAATTAACACCTGCGGTTTAATATCTGAAGGGTGTTGGGAGATCTAGGCTTAGGCTTCTCAGACATCTGAGGAAAGCCTCTGCAAGTCTTCTCCTAACTGATAGCCACTTTGAGAGTCAATTAATGTTTATATACAAAAAACAAGGCAAACAAAAAAAAAGTATTAAAAAAATCAGCTCCAAAAAATTAAAAACCTGGGCAAAAAAGGAAATTAATTTTGGTTGACTGCATGGGTCAGACGGAACAGCGCTCACACACTCGCAGTGACGTAGAGAGAGCTCGCTGCCACTGTGACACAGCTGCACGGAGAAAGTGAGATACTATAAACAGAACTTAGCTCTCCTTGCCCACGAAGGGAAGTCTGGGTGTCTACACCTAAAAAAACTGACAAACAGTAACTCAAGCATTTTTAAAAATAGAGTTTAAAACATACAAATCAGCTAAAAGTTAAGAAGTAGTTAACTGCCCATAGGGAGAGGCGGAAGGGATACAAGACACAGGCCAGACAGTCATTACTGTGACAAATCCTGTGGAGTATTTCACTCTTCAACTGCAGATGCCTAAAATGAAACTTGAAAAAAAAAGTTCTTTTCATCACTGTGAAGACTGTTAACACTATTACTAATGAAATCAACTACGGTGTGCATATGTGTGAGACACAGACACAAATAAACACATACATATGCGGCAAAGGGCTCATACTTAGAATACCTAAGGAATTCCTTATATATTTCTTGTGAATAAGAAAAAGATACCCTGAAAGAAAAATAGGGAAAAGGCTCACGGACACTTCACAGGAAACACTCAAATGGCTACAGACACAGGGAGAGATGCTGAATTTCATCCGTCGCTGAGAAAAAAAAAATTAAAAGCATGACACAATGTGACTACACAAGCACTTGAACGGCCAACACGGAAGACTGAATCAGGAGTCGGTGAAGAAACACATTTAGGACTTGTACAGAATATTCAGGGGAGTTCACCCTTTCGAATATTATTTGGTAACATCTACTAAAGCTACTGGAATTTTTAAAAAATTCTGAAGGCTCAGTTTCCTAAAACATCTGCTCTCACGACCCCTGGTGGACATCAGAAAAAAATAAATAAAAAGCACTGAAATTTTAAGATTCATACACGAAATGATTTAATTTCTCGTTAGATTTAATATCAAGACGACAGATTATATGACTAATAAATACACATGGCTCTGGTAACACATGGCAATTATCTTCACGGCAAAAGAGCAAACGGAGAAGACTGCTGTCAGTCTGACCTGCTGAGGCCCTGAGGGTATCCAGCGTTGGGAGAATAGGAGGCGATCTCTGCTGGAGAAAGAAGATGACCATCATCGTCAGGGAGAAATTTGTGATCCAAGCACCAGGAATGCTACTCGTCAGAGAAAGCGCTCGGGCCCAGCATCGGACACTGCACACCAGGGCTCTCACTCGTGTGTCCAGGGTTCCGTAGATATAGAGGAGCTCAGAGCTCTTCAAGGCAATCCTTGGAAAGGAAAAATAAAAAGAATTTTCAAACTCCAAGTTGTGATGCAATGGTTAAATAAAGCACCCATTTGGGAACATATCTGAATACAACCTGTGTCTGAAAGCATCCAAAACACCACGATTAAACAATCAAAAGCATTTTGTATTTCCAATATAAAATTTAATAAAAAATTTAAATTGAATATCAAACACAGTAACACTGAAACATTCTTTTAGGACAATCACAATGCAATGCAACTCTAAAAGTTCCTAGATATGATTTCAATAATAAGCGAAATACACAGCTCTTACAACTAGCACCAAAGACACAGATACATGCCTTTGCCCTGAAGTTTCACACCCTGTCTTTCAGGAAAGAAGGTAGCCTAAACAAAGAAGAAAATATTCTACTTATTTTATCAGTAAAAGCATTTGGTCTTAAAATTCTTGTAGTTTATGAAACAGCCAAAATTACTTAAGCCTAACATTTATAAAAATAAAAACTGTCTGAAGATAAAGTGCCCACCAGGAAATGAAACTTCAGAGCTGGGACATGGCGGTATATGCCTATAGTCTCGGCTACTCTGGAGTCTAAGGCAAGAGGGTCCACTTGAGCCCAGGAATTCCGGTCCAGCCTGGGCAACACATCAAGACTCCATCTTTAATTACCTATTACAGTAATTACTTAAACTTTAAAAAAACTATTCTGTAAGTTTCCTAGTCAAAATGCAAACTCAAATATTAATCAGAAACATTTTTCAATTAAGTTCATTCTGATCAAAATGTGTCTTGGAAGTTCTCAAAGAACCAATTGAAGACACAAAAAACATTTAAGTGATTTAAATTTATAATGGTCTACTGAAATGTCCTGGAAGTACTATGGTAGCATGTATATCCTCCTAGTTTAAAGAGAATAGAATAAACAGCAAATTTGGAATTCACAGTGATTGTTATACATGTAAAGGAAGCTAAATTAAGCTGAAAAATAACAAATGTACAACATATCTGATATAAACATTACAATCATATAAAAACCTGAAAAGAGCATGTTAAAACAAATTCTCAAACACCTGTCTCAACAAGATAAAGAAAATAACATTATTACAAAAATTAACATTATACTGTCTTACTTTACAGACCTAAGCAAATACCACATTGATTTACTACACAAAGCTGACGCAGTCAGAGGTCAAATTTGAGTTGCTACTTTATTCTCTTAAATATACTCAGAAGATTACACTATAAACTGGTAATTTTCACATTATCAGGCTATACAAGTAAGAACGCACATCACTGTTAGGTGTGTTTAACATTTTAACACAATACATTGTTAGGAACACCGAATTATCAGTAGGTGTAATGAAGGAAACAGAATTTCTTACTTTCCAATCTAAGTATTCAAATGTTTAAAACGAAGCATTTCTAAGAGTCTAGAGCCACTGTATCTAGACCAGGAAAACTAAGCTAATACCTTAAAATGTTCACATTTAAGATGATAAACCTAAGTGACCATACCTATTGTTAGTAGTCAAGTCGCACTGAAATCCAGAGGCCTGGTGGGAGAACCTCACAAGTGGACACCGGGCGTTGAGAATTTTTTGGACACCCACACAACCAGGGCCAACGTGGTCAAGGAACTCTCCCAGCACAGACAGGATTTTCTGAGTCGCAATTCTTTCTGAAGGAACATTTTTCACTTGAAATTCCATCAAAAAATTTCCTCTGCTCTGAATGATAAAGACATTTGTAAACAGAAAAAAGAAATTCTTAATAAACTTTTCTGAAAGGATGCGCTACATTTCTCACAAAACAAAGAAACCACAAAATAAAAATTCTTCATGAAATCACAGTCAAAAGGCAGACTTGACACGTTCATGACAGGGCTGTAATACGTATCTCACTGTGAGCAGCTTGAACCACCCATGGTACATGCATAACTATTCCACCAGGCAGCCCGTCCCACCCTACGGCAGTCATGCATGTACCAGCAGTGGTTCCAGCCAGTGGGAACACGTTAAAAGATTCCTGGTTAACTTCTGTTTCTCTGGAATATACAGCACTATGTTAAAGTCACTTTTTAAAATTAACTTCTATTCCACAGTATAATAGGTACCATAAACATTATAAACAGAACCACTTATTCTATTAATCCATTCCTGGTTAGCTGTTCATTAATAGATGTTACAAGCCCACAGTAGTAGAAGAATACAAGCACAAGAATGCCAGGCCAATACAGTACAAGAGACAGTACATAGAGATTTCCATATTTACAGAAATTTATTTAACAGAATATTGCAAATGACTAGGGAAATACTCCTGTTCAACAAGTGAGTCCAATGGCCACTAAAAAAAAAAACAACTAGATCCCTAGTTTACTCCTAAAATTGAAGTAAATTCAATAAGAATCAAAGACTTAAATGTAAAAAGCACATAAGTAAAATACTAGAAGACAACAGGTGAATGTTTACATAATAATAAAGTAGTGAAGGATGCACTATGCACTAAGTTTGGTACAAAACTACAGAAGACCCAAAAAAGTATTGTGACCGCATAAAAACTGTCCACTTTCTACCAGACTAAAAAAGCAAAACATGAACACATTCACCCAAAGGGCTGGTTTATGAAAGGTTTATACAAATGAAAGGGGGACCTTGCCAAATTCTTAAGCTGGGCAAAACTAACCTGCACAAGAAATTACATTAGAAACGCACACAGCTGTCAAACACAGTAAGAGATGCTCATCTCTTTTGGAAACCAAAGAAGAAATTAAAAGAGCAATGCGTTTTTCCCTTTACTGGAGACTGAACCCTGAAATTCTGCACTGAGTTACATCCCCAGCCCTTTTTAAATTTTTGTTACTTTGAGACAGATTCTAGGTTGCCTCGGTGGAACTTGAACTTACGAGCCTCGCGTCTCTGCCTCTTGAGTAGCTGGAACTACAAGACTGTGCCATCACGCTCGAGCGAGACTTCCTACTCTCAAGTCTGACCAAGACAGACAAACTACCGTCAGCAACGATGGGAAAGGGAAACGCACGTGGTGCTAGTGGAGTGTAAACTTGGACATACTTCTTGTAGAAGTTACCCGACTGAGACTTGAAATGTACCTTTTAACTATTAAATACTGGGAAATTATTCAAATAAATAACTGCATACATGAGCCAATCTACAAAGCCAACCTACAAAGACGCTCTTTCCCTGCAGCATTACTCCTGTGGTGGGCACATTTTGGCAGCCCCACTTAGCGTAATGAGCCCCTGTACCCTCAACCACTTCCTCTCCTAGAACTCACGCCTAAGGAGGAGTTAATGCTGCACAACTTTTTTTTTGGTACCAGGAATCGAACTCAGGACCTTGCGCTTGCCAGGAGGCACTGTGCCGCTGAGCTACATCCCCGGCCCTGGAGTCAAGGCTCCAAAACCAAAGCGTATGATGGAAATCCAGCCCGTTCCTCCCTGCTGAGTGGACCAGGCACAGACAGCTGATCTCTCTACTGGGAGCTAGAATGAAGGTTAGAGGCAATCACGCAGCTGAAATACATGACCCAGAGACTGTGGGGCAGGAAGCTATGTGCACCACAAGCATGGGGAGGAAACAGCAGACGGGAAGGGAGGGAGGGAGGTAGAACAGTGAGACAAATGAAGCACACACGGAGAGGCAGACGCTCCCCGGGTCTGTGACAGTCTGCACTCCCTACCCCTTGCCCTCCCCAGGCGCACCCACACCCCTGCCTGCAGCTTTAGGGCGCCTCCTTTGATTCGCCTACGCTAGTCTGAGGTGTTTCCTTTCGGGTACAAGCAAAGGGTACCAACTAATACAGTGGCCCTGGAAAGCCGAAAGAAAGACAAAAGCTAATTACTCAACAAACGGAAGACTATTCGCTTGAGGGGACATTCAGAGGCCCCCAAAGACGATGGAGCAGACTAAACTGCCAAGACACCACTTGTGGGAAAGATCAAATTATACTTTGTAGAAGCAGTTATAATCCATAAAGATTAATTCTGTTTAAAAAACATTTATATACACAAAGAAAAACATCCAGAATAAAATCATTAAACCATTCACAGTAGTTCTCTAGAGATGGTTGGGCAATTAAATATATGCATTATTTTATAATCAGAAAAAAAGTATATAAATATAACATGTATAGAATCCCCAAAATAAAGATGCTATACCTTTACTGCTTTCTGTTATCTATGCAGATTTCTATGTACTGGAATATTTTTATATTAAAAGAAATAAAAAATAAATTTTCCTTAAAAATAATGACATTTAAAAATTTTGGCTTCGTCATTTGGGTTTAACATCTCTTTACAATGTTATTTGTCTAGTCCATTGTATTTTAAATTGCAAACAAACATAAACTTATCTAGGAAACAGGACTCCAAAAAAGAACAACCAACCAACTAACCAAAAAAGTATGAATCTCAACAGAAAAACAAAGGAAGAAACATCTCTTATTGAGATTAAATAGGAGAAGAAAAAGATCTGGGGTCATCTCAGGATGGCAAAACAGACGAGGTGGTGGAGGAGTAACTCTGGACTCAGAAGCAGAAGAAAGGTGAGACTCCCAACAAAGGAGACAGGGAGCTTTATACAATCTGAAGCACTACAAATTACAACAATAAAATCTTTCAGGTAACAGGCGTAAAAATGGTGCTACAAAAAACCAGACCTGAGTAAGGGGATCAGAGGCAAGAAACTGGAGACCTGTAAACTGTCAGCAGGGCCGTGACAACAAAGTATACCCTTCTGGCCCTGGGTGGGCTACCCCATTCCTGCACCTTACGGCTAATCAGTTCCTGGGCTTGGCTGTGGCCAATGAAATGTGCACCGAAGCGTCCTGGGTCACCGCCAGGCAGAAGCTGAAAGGGCCAGTGGTCAGATCTCCAGGCTCTTTTCACGGCCCCAGTGACAGTGGAGGCACAGGCAGAGATGAACGTGGGCGAGCCGGGTACTTGAGAGCTGCAATGCGGACAGCACTGGTGCTCTGGCTACACAGTTCAGCGAGAGAGACAAAGCTGGGCACTGGAGGAGCCCCGGGTCCGGTTGTGTTTCTGCAGCTAGTGTCCTGCAGGGGGTCTACAGGGCTGCCTAGGCTGTGGCTTCTTGTCACCCCACCCCTGCCTGCTGGGAGCAGGAGGCAGAGAGGTTCCGCAGGATCGGAGCTGGGGGTCTGAAGGAGAAAGAGAAGTTCCAAGGCCGGAGGGGCTCAGGGCGAGGCTGCCCGACGAGGAGAGCGCTTCAGGAGGGAGGGGCCCGGCAGGCAGGGCCAAGCCCGCCAGGGCTGATCCGAGACCCAGGGTGGCTGGCGGTGCCCACAGCTCACGCCAGCTCTGTACCCCGAGCTCCCAGGCGCCCCTGCCCAAGGCCCAGACCTTCTCGCCAAACTGGGTTCTCTTGAAGGATGTGCTCAATGACAGAACCCAGGTAAGACGAGGATGCAAAAAGCGAGCTTTTCTTTTAAGGACTTCTCCGGCACAGCTGCACCTTGCTCTGTGTGCTGTCAGGTATCACTACAGAAGTTCACACTTCTCTCTCCTCAGAGACCATTACTGTTTCTCTCAAAACTCTGCTGACTATGAGGTGCAGGAATTTCATTTCCATGACACAGGACATGGCCTCTCAACTTGTGAGCCATAAAGAAAAATGTAAGCCCCTTTCTTCCACTTTATCCCTCCTAGTAAATAGCCAGTTATACAGTGGTTGTCCCATCCAAGTTTCTTAAGAGCAGAAACCACATCAGACCAGATTCGTGATTGGTGTAACAGGAAGAAAATATTCATTCCTCCAAGCAGTGTCTTCGGTTCAGCTCTCAGCCACTCTGGTGCCTGCAAGGGGGCTGTCCTATGCTCTACGCCTAACAAATCACAAATCATGGAATCAGCAGTCTGAAAGGGCTCTGAATTGGAGCTGCCTGGGCTGGACTCTTCCCCCAAAGTAGCCAGTTAATTAAAGGCACGACACTTAAGTGCTCTAAACCTCAGTTTCCGCTTAGGAAAATGGAGATGAACAACAGTCCCTACTTCAGTGTCCTGAAAATACATGTGTAATGGGCACATTTAAACCAGAGCCCCACAGTCAATAGAAGTCATTATTCCTCTCGCTGGTAATATCCACAGCACTCAACACGGCCGATTTCCCTTCACGGAAAAGATCGAGCCAGTGCTTGGCTGGTCCTCATTACAGTGCTGAAACACACGCACCGGCCAGGCACGCTGCTGTCCTCGCTACGCTTGCTGCTCCCAGTCTGCTCCTGGCATTTCTCCGACTATCGTATCTTTCCATGACCAAGTTGAAAGCCTTTCTTGCACTTTTTTGTTGACTTCAGTGTGCACAGACGTGTGCTGGTCAAAAGAGGAATCGAGGGTGAAAACAGGACAAGCTGGCGGCCAGGTCAGAGACCTCCAGTTTGGTGCTTGCGGTCTCACGTGACCACCTATGGCTCTGGGCCGGAACTGAAACGTGAAAGTGTAAAATGCATACTAAGTTTGAAGAGTAAAACAGAACGCAAATGTTGATTGTATTTTGGGCAAGACTGGTTAAAAAAAGGCAAAACAAAAAGAGGGAATTAATCCAATAAAAGGAAGAAAGAAAATGAATAAAAAGCAAAAGGCAGAAAAAAAAAGCACAGAGGCCAGGCATGGAGGCACACCTGTAATTCCAGAAGTCTAGGAGGCTGAGGCAAGAGGATCGTAAGTTCAAGTCCAAACTGGGAAGCTTCGCAAGATCTTGTCTCAAAATAAAACACTGAAAAAGGGCTGGGGACGTAACTCAGTGTGAAGTCCTGGGCTCAATTCCCAGTAGTGCAAAAAAGAGGGGAAAAAAAAAAAAAGTAAAAAGTATTGAAAGTGGAAACACATGTTACTCTTCAAACAGTATGTACTAAGTTTAGAAACGAGTACTTACTATCTAAGTTCAGAGATTTTTCCCACTTTCTTTAATGATCATAGTTGTATAAATAAGTACGATTACCTTTTGAGTGCTGAGCCTCCTGGTTTCATCTAGATCCAAAAACATGTCCAGATCACATCCCAACTTCCCGAAAGTGTTCACAGAGGAGCCGAAGGGTCTGATTGTGCATTCTGGAAAATAGGCAGCTGCTATGTCCTCAATGAGAGAGCAAGTGAGGTAACGGAGCCTGGTGTTCTCTTCCGTTAGCTGGAATTCCTTCAAGAGCGTATTCAGCTGATCATCTACCTAGCTGGCCAAAATAAAAACAGCAGAATACAAAAAAAGTGCCGTCATATAAAACCACCGTCGTTTTCCTTCTGAAGATCTGATGGCTCTGGGTACCTACCTTTAAAATAGGTATTTTTCCTTTCCGTCTTAAAAGATTTTTTTAAAATGTCCTTTAAAAAGCACTGAGAAATGACACAAGGAAAAGTCAAGAACTAAAACTGCTGCTTATCCCCGAAACGAGCATCAAGTGTTGTTTCAGGACAATGACAGCAGCAAGGTGCCCGTAAGAGGGCAAACCAGCCACGGAGACAGACTGTCGAGGGAGCCAAGGCTAAAGGCAAGGAGCACCCGAAAAAAGCAACCCAAGGAGTGAACAACCAAGATTTCCGTTGCTTAGAAATGGCCACATGTATTCACTGAAGAGTGGGGTTAGGATAATCAGACTAGGAAATTGTGGAGTAAAGGTAAGTATTGAACAGAAAAAAAACCCACAGTTCAATTTCCCTCATTTTAAGACAATACTGAAAATAAAACTGAACTAAGCGTTCACTTAAAAAATAAATAAAAGCAATACTATGTAAGGTTAAAAGCAAAACATTTAAAAATTCAAAAATTAAACAGAAAATAGTATTCCTGACGCTTTCAAAGGATCCCTAAACTAGCTAAAAGTATAACAAGTCTGAGTAAGAAAAACCAAGACAAGTACAATCGTGGGATAAAGAAAAGACAGAATGCTGCAAATAAGACACCGCAGACTTATAGACTGCCACATACAAGTTTACGTCATTACGCTGAGAAGAGCGAAAACCCGAGCTGTCCCAAGAGCACAGGAAGTCACCCCGAAGGAGCGCGAAGGCCGCGGGACACGGCAGGAGGGGCTGTCACTTCTCACTTGGTAGATTCCACAGTTTGGGTTTTTAAACACAAGCCCAATAATTAAAAGAGATATTAAAGCTACAAAAGAACTAGCAAAACAAATACACTAACATGTTTTTAAAAATACAACTTGACTAGTGTTTATTCTGGGAAAGTGCAAATGGCCAGAAGTGAGGAAATTTGTGGTAAAGACACAGCAGGAAAACCACACAATAATCCACAATCATTTACCAGTCATCAAGAAATCTCCAATGGGAAACGCAGCATCTACTTGGTACGTCAAACCCGACGTGATTCTTACAAAGCTAGGAACACTAGCAAAGGGCTTGTCCCTCACAGTGTCACACATCCATCCCCACTTTCTATCTCCGTAGTTCTTTCCATCAAACAATACCGCAGATTTACTATTTCAGAACTTTTATAATATATAAAATAACGCGATAGGTATTTTTTTAAAGTTGCAGTACACCTATGAACTTACACTTTCTGCAGAACACAGTAATTCAAAAAGCTTCCTCTTCGAAGGAGGCAGGTGATTACTTGACCGTGCAAGTGACTGCTTGGCAGCGTGGCTGGACGGGCCCTTCGGCTTTAAATAGAGGAAGCGTGATCTGAACGGAATGGCGGCCTCCGTGCCCGTGGCTGGAGTCTGAGTCCTATTCAGGAGGGAATCTACACTGTCCTTTTGGCAAAATTCTACAACCGCATAGAAACCCTGTAACGTAAGGAAAGACAACCCATTTCACAATGATATATTTAACACAGTAATAACACAACATCTTCAAAAATTATCATAATGCTACAAAATGATTTTTAATTTTATAAATGATAGGACTATAACATGAGCACTGATCTCACTGATTATAAGTAGCTTTAAAAAGGAATACTATGAAGTTCTATTAATCAAGAGAAAATGAAAAGAATGCCAAAATGAAAATTAAAAGGCAAAACAATGATCCCTCTTACTGGCCTTTAGACACTGTATCAGCTGACCCAAGGTATTCAAATAGTGCAATTAATTCTAAAATACTGCTTTGAGGGTTCGTTTCTTCCCTTTCTTTCTTTGATATTGTTTTGGTGGTGGTCATACTGGAGACTGATCCCAGAGCCTTCACACTGAGCCACATCTGCAGCCCGGCCCCGCTTAATTCTGAGATCAGGTTTCACTAAGTCCTTAGGGTGAGCCAAACTTCAACTTGTGATCACACTACTCAGCCTCCCAGAATACTGGAATGATAAGCACATATCACCACGCCCAACTGACATTTCTATATTTATATCAAGAAAAAGAAAGAGAGAGAAAGGAAAGAAAAAAGAATGCACCATAAAAAGAAATTTAGGTAACGAACAATGTAAGGTATCAAAAGAGAATTCAACTTCACCATATTACAAAAGACAAGGACAAAAATATCTACCCTTCAAAAAGGAAGTTAGGTGTTTCTGAAATACGTACAAAGCTCTCATAGAAGAAATGAGTATGAATAGGTCCGTGCTGGGATAAATACTTGAGAAACTTCTTCTCACTGACTGTATTTGGGCAGTGTATTAAAACACTCCGCTGTGCCTGTTCTCGTCTTTCTTCTTGCACCTCAGAGAAAGTCTTTTTTGAAGGTTTGTCTTTAGATCCTATGAATGAGACAAACACATTTCCACCACACACATACATACATGCCAAATTTAAAACTCTGTGATAAAGTATATAAAGATTCTATATCAACTTCACATAACTTCTTCCTGTTCTTTTTCCTTTCAAGTATTGAAGACACATTATCTCAAAGTTCATTTTGCTGTTCTGGGACTACTACTAAAAATGTCCACTTTATATATTTTGATTTGCTACACTCAATGTATGGTATTAAAAAATAAAGTTCCACAAAACCTTAAAAGGAAAACCACTCATTTATTGTTTTCATAAATACATGCATACAAAACCTGTGCAAACTGTCCCAAAGCTTAAAAGAAATGACTGTTAGCCTGTATGTAATGAGACAATGAAGTTCAATGTTCTGAAGTAAGTTACTAAGGAGTTTTCCTTTGTCAAGGTTCTTGATCTGCCTCAAACAGTTACCATCTATCATGTGCTCCGTATGAGAGACAGGTCAGTATTTAAAAGAAGTCACCTAGTTGTGGCCCAAGATGAGACCATGGTAAGTTTAGTGAGAAAACAGAGGGCGTTTTCTTTCTTTCTTTTCTTTTTTTCTTCCTTCTATTTTTTTTTTTTTTTTCATTTAAAAGCCTTTCTAGAGGTAAGAAATCTTACAAACAGAAGGAATGAAAACAAGAAGGACAGTCAAGAATTAAGGGAGGATAAACAAATGAGCCAAGTATAAGGAAAAAAAGATAACTCAAGTCTGAAGAAAACAGTAAAGCCACACACTAAATTTTCACAATGCATCCTCCAACCCCTGCAGGATATTTAGTTTCCAGATGGGTATTTAAAAGTCTAAGGCCAGGTGTAGTGGTGCATGTCTGTAATCCCAGCACTCAAGAGGCTGAGGCAGGAGCATTGCTGAGAGTTTCAGGCCAGCCTAGGGTACATAGTGAGTTTAGGGCCAGCCTGAGCTATGTAGCAAGACCCTGTTTCAAAAAAACAAACAAAAAAACCATCTGCAAAGCAACTAAAAGTCTAAAATCCCCCAGCCTGTTGCCAGTACCTTCAACAAAATTCTAAACAAAAGAGAAAAGAAAAAAAATATATATATTATATATATATTTATATACACACAAGGTAACTAAGATAATTATACTACTAATTTCTATTGGTTTATTGAAAGGAACAGTTTGTGCTTATATTGTTTGATCCATTTTACATGCCTATATCTTGTAATCTGAGCAACTACTTTGAAGTTAACAGTATACAAGATAATAACCACTGTTAATTTCCTATTATCTTTTGAAAGTCTGTATCACTGTTTTTGTTTTTTTAAATAAAACAAATTTCAAACAAATTAAATAGAATCAAAAGCCTAACTGATATCTGGAAATTAGCAGCAGCTCTTAGCCTCATGTTTTTTGGGGTTTTTTTTGTATCAGTACATGTTTTCAGTATGTAATGTTTAAGGGTGTAAAACTGCTAAGTCAAGGAAATCCCCCAAATACACTATCTTAATTTCAGCTTCAAGACATCCTCATGGATACCGGCAAACCGTGCTTGTGAGTGTCAGCCTAGACAGGAGTCTCCAACAACACAGAGAACTTAGCACAGACCTGCTCATCATTTTTAATCAGGGACGCAACATGGAAGAATAACTTTCTTGTACCTGCTGTACTAATGCTGAAAATACACCTTTTCAGGACATGCCCTCTTCTCCACTCCCACTGCCAGCACTTTAACATCAATCCTACATTTCAGGCCTTTATTACCGAAAGAGCAAGACTCCAAAACTGGTCTTAGTCACCCTAGTTTTGTCATTCTCAAGCAATTTTCCACACTGCAGCTGAAGTGATCTTCATAAAATGATCTTTCTTTTTTCTCTTTTCTTGGCTTTTTGAGACAGGGTCTCACTATGTAGTTCAGGCTGGCCTTGAGCTCACTTTGTAGCCCAGGCTAGTCTCGAACTCACAACGATCCTCCTGCCTCAGCCTCCTGAGTGCTAGAATTACAGGCGTGCGCCACCACGCCCGGCAAAAACGATCTTTCTTAAAAGTTCCTATTCTTTGACTTTTCTGCTTCAAATCCTTCAGTAGCTTTTAACTGTCCTAAAGATCAAGTCTAGAGTCCATAGCATAGAACTGAAGTAGCCAGTACCGCATCCTCCCTTCCCCCTTCGATTCTGTCCTTTGCACTTTTCATATGTGGTATTCTACACACACAAAGCTGTTACACACTACAAACTTTCTGGCCTTCACCCCTCAGTCAGAATGCCCACCTTCTCATTTCTGTCTGGCAAAATCCCATTCCTCCTCCAAATTCTGCTCAGGTCTGTGAAGCCTTCTGATTCTCCATGGTAGAATTTCTTCCACCTCTGTATTACCTTACTTTAGCATCTATGAAGGAACGTAAGTCATAGTAGTGTTATACACTTATTTAACAATACGGAAGAATAGCTTCTTCCATGCTGAGGACAGGAATTAGTCTACTCTTGTTCAACTGGATCTCAGTCTACTATCATCCTCCTTCGTATTGGTCCCCATATCCTTCTCTTCCTACGCTACGGGCTCTGTCTGTAGCATCTCACCACCTTTTCAGTCATAACTACCACCTATCCATTCTTGTCTCTGACTTTTACTGACTCTACACTGAAACCCAAAGTGGGGGAAAAGTTAACCTAACAGTGGTTCTACAAAACAATTCTAGAGATTTGATGAAAACTCAAAATGCCTCAAAGGAATGTCTTGACTACACTGGTAAGGGTAGAGAAAGAATATATACATTGTCATGGTTTGTGTCTGGATGTTCCCCCAAAGCCTTATGCAGTCATGAGGTGGGCTTCTGGAGTTTATGACTGATTCATGGTCCAATGTTGGAATTATGGATATGAGTGCTACACCTGCTCTGGGGCAGGTAGTTTACATGCAATATAAGGGAGGGAAAGAGGCTGCTTGCCACCACTCCTCCCTTTTTGCTCTTGTTGCTTTTGCTGTCTTCCCCCGCCATGAACTGTTGCCCTCTGCCATGTGCCACTCTGCCTTGGAGCCAGCCAAGTATGGACTGAAACCTCCACAAACTGTAAGCTAAATAAACCTTTCCTTCCTTAATTTTGGGTGTCAGGTATTTTGTCTCAGCAACAAAAGAAATCAAGATACATACATACATATATATATATATATATATATATTATACACACATACACATATTCACGTATACATGTGTGTATGTTTGTGTGTGTGTATGAATCTGTAAGATTTCTGCCTTATTAAAAATCCAAATTCACAGGGCAATAGCATTTCTTTGCTAATTACAGGTCAGGACACATAGATATAATAGATATGAATTATATTATTGGGTCAAAAAACATTCAGGAAGGGGTAACTCCAGAAAGGGGTAGGGAATTACTGTACAGTGAGGCCTTACACCACTGGGGAGTAGAGGGACTAAGGACAACCTGAGAGCTGAGTGCTATCTTCAAATACAGCAACTTTGTCTTTGAGCAGAATCTTATAGTTTTCAAGCGCTGTCACATACAAGTAAGTACACACTTCTTTCTAACTCTCTTAAAATAGGGCAGGAATCATTACAGGAGAAAATAATAAACAAAATCAAACATGTAAGAAACTGGACAGCCTCATACAGAATTTATCTACTGCTTGGTTGCCTGGCATCTATCTACCCTTCTTCTGGTAACAGTATACCCCTGCTTGTTTAAAACACACACATCCGCACGCACACAAACATATCCTTTTTGTGGTTATGGTGGAACTGTCAATATAGTTATCCTACCAAGACACATAACCCCATCCCATTAGCTAGGCCAGGATTACCAGATGATTCTTGATATTCTTTTTGGTACAAACATTGAGCATAAAATCAATCAAAACCTTCCCTGTAATTTTCCAAAGGTTGGTAAAAGATAACTTTATTCCCCTTGGAGAATGCTGCAAGCACATGAACATGGAGCTGCTGGCTACCATCATCCTGACTACCAGCATACCCATGCAGAAGAAACTGAGATTATAAGACTCCAAACAATAGCTAAGGAAAAGAGCAATAGTTTGTGTTAACTATAGCAATTCAGGTGAGTTTGTTACATGGGTTGGTGTGTTCTCCCTAACCTATTTAAGCTAACTGAAGTTAGTTTTTGTTATCTGCACCCAAGAACCTTGAATTCTCTTATTCACTTTTATTCTCTTATACCACAGCCTTTTCCACCACTTATGTGAAAGCTATGTCAAAACTAAGACCAACATGGAAATGGGAACTTAGCAGATTTTACCTCATTACAAGTATTTTTCAACCACTAGAACCCAGTCACATTGGATTTATGAGACCATGTGCTCCTTATTAACATAAAATGTTAGTATGACTGTTTTGGCAATGAATTCTCACACTGAGTAAAAAGTTCAATTTGGATATTTCTCAAGTTCTTTCCAGTTATAAAATTATATGCTTCTAAGTGAGAATATGGTATAGTTATTTCTTTTTGTTTGTTTAGAAATGGTAAAGAAATCCAAATCAGCGTTTTGTTGCTCATTAATGCCCCTGCAAGAGTCCTTAAAAATTTAGTTGTGTTATTACTGGCCATTTTAGGTTCACCCCAGGTTCATGTGCTCCTGCTGACTGTATCAAAGGAGGCCATTTATTTCGGTAGAAAGGAAAATGGACTTATTCAAAGCTAACTCAGAGGAGACGGAGCGGACATTTTGCTTCAAATCACCACCTCACAGTGCACAGGTATGTTAGGGTCTTTTAGAGCAAAGAAACAGTGGCGGGAGGGAACAAAATGAGAGAACAGACATATTCACGATTAATGGATCCCTTCCTCGACCCAGATCTCTCCCCCCCTTGTCCATGTGCATGTTCTTTTCATCTGGACCGAGAATTCGGACTAGTCATTCAGGCCCTGCGCCTGAAGAAGTTTGGAGAAGCAACTTTTTCTAAAGGGAAAAAAAACCTAACTTCTAAAGTTCTATGTTGCCATGCCACTTACAATATTATGCTAATGGTGCCTAATGAAATGTTTTCGTAAAAGTTAAAACAGTTTCTCTGGCAGAATCCTTACTCAAATTTGCAGAGTTATTTAAAAACTTTCATCAAAAGCAACTTCTATTAAATAAAACCCAATCAACATTTCAATGTGATGCCACATAAAGGAGTATTTTCACTCTCTGTCAATGACTCTTTCATACAATCTGATGAAGACAGTAATCCACTTTGGGGGAAAATATTTTACTCGTTTCGTATGTTTTAGAAGAGTTCCCAGAACTAACTTGCTCTTAAGACTATGGCTCCAAGAATGACAGCTACCGAAACATTTTGTTTGGTTGCTTGACTCAAGATCCCTGCACAAGATATCTGGCTTTCTGAGCCTCTTTCTTTATTTGTAAAACGGACACAAGGATACATTTCTTGAAAGGTTGTTTTAAGAACTGTAAACGTCATGCACATGCCCTCGGGCCGCAAGAGGGCTTCAGTAAAAGGGGACCTCTCGTACAAAAATAATGTTATGTGTAGAACGTCTGCGGGACAAGTGGACGCTAATCTGTTCCCGGTCAGATTTTGCCCAGAGGATTCCTATCTAGTAACTTCATGTGCAACGCCGAGAGTCTGGCGTCCCGGTTATCCCTCAGGTTCCACCGCAGCGTGCAGCCTGCAGCACCGTCTCCGACCAGCAAACCGCGCGCCTCAGCGAACGGCGAAGGGAACGACCGCTGCGCGGCGTTCTCACGGCTGAGCACACGTCTTCAGCGCACGGTACAGCGCCGGCGAGCCGCGTTCCGGGCCGAATTTCACACAGCGCCACCTCTCCGCCGTCCCCGGGAGTCACCTCGGGGAAGGAAACGTCGCGCGCCCGCCCGCCCGCGAGCCCGGCCTCGCCCCGCGCTCGCTCACCCGGGGCCGGGGCTGCACCACAGCCCCGGGACGCGGCGCCATCACCTGTCTCCACGCTCCCGGAAGGCTGCTCGTCTCTCCTCAGCTCCGCGGCTACAGTCCCTGCACAGCGCAGGCGTGGGAAAGTAGGACACCGGATTCGCGTTCTCGTCTGGGCACAGAGGGGCGAACGGGTGAGCAGCCCCACGCCGCGAACCGCCATTGTCAAAGGCAGACGCGCTCCCGGCCAAAAGGTCAGCGGGCTTCTGCGCATGTGCGCTGAAAAGAAAACAACGGGAAGCCTCGAGGGTCAAATCAGCAGAAAGACGTTCGCTTGTAAAACAAATTTGAGGCAGAAATGAACGGGTTTGAGATTACTGACACATTTAAGTGGCCTGAACGTAAGTGTTTGTTTTAGTGTAGTCTTGTGAGGTAAATATAGTATTTCAATTTTACAGAATTTAAATTCCGAACAGTTTATTCTCAGTTTCAGTGCTGTTGTTTAGTAAAAACACAGGTTTTAAACACTACAGAATCCAAATGATCATCTTGCGTGTAGTATGCCTTGTGTGGCTGGTTCGGATTCGAACTTGCGCACCCCAACTCCTCCAATAAGTACGTGCCACTAATATTCTAATAAGTACATATTACTAGTTAGACTGTTACTTCACCTCACAAAACAGGAAAGTTTCAAACAATTTCCATAAATGTCATTAGGAAGAAAAAATGAACACAACCTAAGAAGTCCAAAGGAAATACAGCATATAACTTCTAAAATGTATTGAACACAGTGTTCTTAAAATTACTCTAAAGAAAAGATAACTTCAAAGAGTTTGTATCATTTACAGTAATGGGGTGGTGGGATGGGTAAGGTATTCGTACAGTTTTCTAGGAAAACTTAGGATATAACAAATGATACAACAGTTTTTTAAAAATTAGACACTGTTGTTATCTTAATATTTACAACAATCTTATGAAATAGGGAAACGAGTCAGAAAAGTTGAATAACTCCTGAAGTGAGAGTTACATCTCCTAGAATTTTTTTATTCTTTTTTTCTAACATTTACTTTGTGTGTCATACAATTCACTCCTTTAAGGTGTTTTGCTCAGTGGTTTTTGGTATATTCACAGAGTTTTGTGGCAATCATCTTAGAAATTTCATCACTTCCAAAAGAATCTTTGTCTTTTATCTGTGACCCCCAGTTGCCTCACTGCCCCCAGTCCTAGGCATCTACTTGTTTACTTTTCTTACCTATGGAATTGCCAGTTTTGTGGAAATGGAATTGTACAATATGTGGGCTTTTGTGACTGGCTTTTTTCACTTAGACTAATGTTCTCGAGATTGTTGAAGCATTCATTAGTGTTTGAGCATCTATCAGTACTGTACTTCATTGCTCTTGAGGGCCAGATGATATCCTATAGTATTAATAGACCCAATGTTTACCCTTTTATCACTTAGTGGACATTTGAGTTGTTTCCACCTTTTGGCTATCGTAAGTAAAGCAGTTATCTACACTATTGTAGCAGGTATTTGTGAGTGTCTGTGTGTATAAGTTTTCATTTCTCTTTGATCATCTCTCTTTGATATGTATATCTAGGAGTAGAAGGGGTGGATCATGTGGGAATTCTGTGTAAGCGACTCCCAGGCTGTTTTTCAGAGGGACTGCATCATTTTCTCTCCCATTAGCAATGCTTGAGGGGTCTGATTTCTGCACATCTTTGCCAATACTTGTTAGTCTTTGCTTAGTTTTTTATTGATAGACATTCTGGTAAGTGTGAAGTAGTAGCTTGTGGTTTTGATTTGAATTTTCATGATGAATGTTGAACATCTTCTCATGTAATTATTGACCACTTATTTTCTTTGGAGAAATATCTAATTAGATTCTTCACTCTTTTTTTTTTTTAATTTTAAAGAATAAAAGAAGGATAGCATAATAATAGGGGGGACTTAGCAAATTACAGACAAAATGGTAGGAAATTATCAATGGTTATCGTTTTACATATTATTATCTACAAAATAGTTTCTCAGGAAAAC